TCCACACCTGTAGTGACCATTGTTCCGCACCCAGAAGATGACAGAACCCCTCCAGGATTGCTTCCTGACCCCAAAGTGGCAATCGGCATTTCCCTGGGCATGTAAAAAAGGGCCACAAGATCTAAGCACTGATGCAACCCTTTCTGCCCTCCCTCTTGTGACCTGCCTAACCCAACAAACATCATACAAAGGGCAAAGCTGCCCACATTATGAACCCAAAACAAGTGGCATTCCGACATACGCAGCCTTCTCATACGGAGGTTACATTCCAGCCTCTGACCACTTTCTCCTTCTCTGTTACATCCTTTAACACCCCCCCCCCAAGATTCTAAGAAACTCACTCTAGTAACCATGAGGACATGAGTTATTTGATCAACATGTATATGCAGCGAAGAAAGAATACCAACTGATGAATGTCATGGAAGATACTGTGTCCAGAGTTAGATCTTGATTTCCAAGATACAAAAGAAAGCAATGGAAAGGGGAGAGAAGGCCATTAGGAGGGCTGCCCCTCAACCCACTTTTGGAGGGTTCGCGGACCATTTTTGAGTCCCGGCCCACAGGCTGGGGAAAACTGCTCTAGCAGGTTGGGACTGGGTGATCTCAACCAATCCCAGCTTGCGCACAATGGAGTTTAGAGAAGGGAGGGAGGAAGCTCAGCGAGAATCTTGTAGAGGACATGGAGTCCCCCCTCTAAAAGCTGCCATTTTCTCCAGGTAGAAAGAGTGACCAGTCCAAGGCTTTATTAAAAAATGGGGATTTGAATCTGGTTCTCCCAAATCATCGTCTGACACTCCTAACTGCTGTACCACACTAAATGAAGAGGATCATAAACTGGATGAAAGGAGCTTTGGCTCACAAAAGCTTATACCGTGAAAACGTATTGGTCTCTAAAGTGATCCTGGATTCGAATCTAGCCCCTCTAGCACACTGGCTCTTAAATGTCAGCCTGGTTCAAGCATGGAATCTGGGGACTGTCATATATTCAGAGTCTGAATCTTTTTAGAGAAAAAGCACGGTATTAAGATTTCATGGTTGACGAGAAAAATCTGTGCCTATCAAGAATTTTCTTGTAACACCTTAAAAGTTATGGCCGTTATAAATTACAGGTTGAATTTGTGCTCTCTGGAGACCATTCTGTTCCATATACTTACTGTGCCTTAACGGGTTTAGGTAAAACGGACTAAATTCTCTTTATTGTGGCTATATGCTGCCTTATGTTCTTTAGAGGAAAGATCAGGAAAAATAAAGCACACTAAAAAATAAACAGAACCTCAGTCGGGTTGATGCAAACTGTCCTCAGGTCTAAAAACAAAAATTCACCCCACGGAATTTGCATTATAATCCCCTTAAGAATTTCCATCGCCTCAAGCAAGTCAGTGTTTCTCAACTTGGAGGTCCTTCCTCCAGCTGTATGCCTGCCTATCTAGCTTAAAATTCTCTCTGTCAGGCTGCCGTGCCATGCTTTGGGAGGCCTGGTGCACACAGGAGAATTACCAGCTACCAGCTGGGGTGTGGAGTTCTCCTGGAATTACAACCCATTCTGTAGCCTGCAGAGATCATTCTCAGCCTAACCTCCCTTACGGTAGAGTTGCCAGGCCCTAACTGACTGTGGTGGCTCAGTGGTTAATTACGCTGAAGTTTGAGATTATAGTGCCACCTGATGGAGTGAGCTCCCATCTCTGGTCCCAGCTCCTGCCAACCTAGCAGTTCGAAAGCAAGAAATTGCAAGTAGATAAATAGGTACCACTTCGGTGGGAAGGTAACAGCGTTCTGTGTGCCTCGGCATCTAGTCATGCTGGCCACATGACCACGGAGATGTCTTCTGACAGTTCTGGCTCTTCAGCTTGTAAACGGAGATGAGCACCGCACCCCTAGAGTCGGATTCGACTGGCTTTCAAGCAAGGGAAACCTTTACCTTTACCTTTTTAACCTATTATTGTAGGGTTGTTGCAACGATAAAACAAAAGGGAGAACAATTTATATTGTCGTGAGCTGTTTGGAGGAAAAGCTGGGATTTTTGTTGTTGTTCAGTCGGACAGTCGAGTCCGACTCTTCGCGACCCCATGGACAAGATCTCGCCAGGCCCTCCTGTTTTCCGCCGTCCTCTGAAGTTTGCTCAATTTCATGTTCGTTGCATCTATGACACTGTCTAACCATCTCATCCTTTGCCGTCCCCGTCTTCTTTGACCTTCAATCTTTCCCAGCATCAGGGTCTTCTCCAGTGAGTGCTCCCTTCTCATTTGGTGGCCAAAGTATTTGAGCTTCAGCTTCAGTATCCGGCCTTCCAGGGAACAGTCAGGGTTGATTTCTTTGAGGATTGACTGATTTGTTCTTCTTGCAGTCCAAGGGACTCTCAAGAGTCTCCTCCAGCACCATAGTTCAAAAGAATCTATTCTTCGGCGCTCGGCCTTCCTTATAGTCCAACTCTCACAGCCATACATGACTACTGGGAATACCATTGCTTTGACCATGCGGACTTTTGTTGGCAGGGTGATGTCTCTACTTTTTATCATGCTGTTTAGGTTCGCCATCGCTTTCCTCCCAAGGAGCAGGCGTCTTTTAATTTCATGGCTGCTGTCACAGTCTGCGGTGATCTGGGATCCCAGGAACGTGAAGTCTGTCACCACTTCCACGACTTCCCCTTCTATTTGCCAAGGAGTGATGGGGCCGGATGCCATAATCTTAGTTTTTTTGATGTTGAGCTTCAAGCCCACTTTTGCGCTCTCCTCTTTCACTCTGAGCAAGAGGCTCTTCAGATCCTCTTCACTTTCTGCCATTAGAGTAGTATCGTCTGCATATCTGAGGTTGTTGATCTTTTCCCCAGCAATCTTAATTCCCACTTGTGATTCATCCAGGCCAGCATTTCACATGATGTACTCTGCATATATATTAAATAAGCAAGGTGACAATATACATCCTTGTCGTACTCCTTTTCCTATGCTGAACCAATCAGTTGTTCCATATCCGGTTCTAACTGTCGCTTCTTGACCCTTATACAGGTTTCTCAAGAGACATGTGGTCTGGTACTCCCATCTCTTTAAGGACCTGCCATAGTTTGTTGTGATGCACACAGTCAAAGGCTTTAGCCTAGTCAATGAAACAGAAGTAGATGTTTTTCTGTTAGTCTCTTGCTTTCTCCATAATCCAGCGAATGTTGGCAATTTGATCTCCAGTTCCTCTACCTCTTCGAAACCCAGCTTGTACTTCTGGCAGTTCTCTATCCACGTACTGTTTGAAGCCTAGCTTGTAGGATCTTGAGCATGACCTTGCTAGCGTGTGATATGAGTGCAATTGTGCGATAGCTGGGATTAAAGTGTACTAAATAAAAGATATATGTACCTTAAGGACTGTGGTATTCCAGCCAATTTTCATCATGGCTGGCGGTTATGGTTGAAAGACAACTCATTTTGGGATAAGATCTTGACGCACATAGAGTTAATTAAGGTACCATGTTACTACAGTACTTCTCTTATTAGAATACTTTGATAAGTGAAACCTTCATACTCTGGTAAGGGAATTAATAGCAATACTGCTATTTGCAGCAAAATTTTTAATTACCTGATATTGGAAAAAGCTTTATAGGCCTTCTGTTAGGAGGTAGTGCGAAAAAAGATTGGATCTTTTAATCTCAAATAAAGATCTCTTCACAGCTTGAAGTAATAAATAACCTAATTTATTCTCCTAAATAGATGGTTGCCTTTCTTAGAATATACAGTGGAGGAAGTACCACAAAATAGGAGATCCCCACAAAATTGTCATTTGATTTGTATTTACTAATTATTTGCATGTGAACACACCATGGGGTATGATTTATCTTACAAATACAATGGTTATATCTTCAACTTATAATAGAAAAAAATGTAGATTTTTGTATTTATTAGAATACACATAAATTATACTACTGTGTTTTACTGGTTACTGGTTAATTTCAACCCCCCTCCCTTCCTGTTGTTATTTGGAAAATCTTAAATAAATAATTATAAACTGTAAAAAGTTTAAAGAAAGAAAGGTGCCCTTTAGGGGACAGTGGCCCCGGTCACACGGGCAGGAAACCGCGGGGGGGGGGGAAGCGTGGCAGATTGCCCCGGGGCAAACTAAGGCGCAGTTACCTGACCAGACCTCCCGTGGAGGTACCGTGGAGGTCCCGTGGGAAGGGAGAGGCGCCGATCGCAGGACACTCCCACGCGCAAAAACGAAGCGCGCGGTTCGGCAAACCGGATAGTTTTTGTCTGTACAGCACGACTGCGCATGCTCTGTAGGGTGCTTTTGCGCATCCA